GTCCACCCGCGCCCGTCCTCAACCGCGCGCCCGTCCTCACCCCCCGCCTCACCGCCCTCCTCACCGCGCCCATTCCTCACCCATCTCGCACCGTCCTCCACCCTCCTCACCCACGCCCGTCCTCACCCGCTCCTCAACCTCACCCCTGCGCCCTTCCTCACCCGCCTCCGCCCTCACCCGCAGCCCTTCCTCACCCGCCCCTTCCTCACCCGCCTCCGCCCTCACCCGCGCCCTCCTCACCCGCCTCCGTCCCACCCGCCCCTTCCTCATCCGCGCCCTTCCTCACCCGCCTCCGTCCTCACCCGCGCCCGTCCAACACACGCCCTTCCCACCCACGCCCGTCCTCAACCGCCCTCCGTCCTCACCCCCGCCCGTCCTCACCTCGCCTCCGTCCTCACCCACGCCGTCGTCCTCACTCCGTCCTCACGTCCTCGAACCGCGCCCGTCCTCACCCACGCCCGTCCTCACCCGCCTCCGTCCTCACCCGCGCCCGTCCTCACCGCGCCCGTCCTAACCCGCCCCGTCCCACCCGCGCCCGTCCTCACCCGCCTCCGTCCTCAACCGCGCCCGTCCTCACCACGCCCGTCTCACCCCCTCCGTCCTCACCCGCCCCGCCACCCCGCCGTCCTCACCCACGCCCGTCCTCACCCGCCTCCGTCCTCACCCGCCCTTCCTCACCCGCCTCCGTCCTCACCCGCGCCCTTCCTCACCCGCCCCGCCTCCGCCCCTTCCTCACCCGCGCCCTTCCTCACCCGCGCCCTCCTCACCCGCCCTCCTCACCCACGCCCGTCCTCACCCGCGCCTTCCTCACCCGCTCCGTCCTCACCCGCCTCCTCCTCACCCACGCCCGTCCTCACCCGCGTCCCACCCGCCTTCCTCACCCACGCCCGTCCTCACCCGCCTCCGTCCTCACCCACGCCCTTCCTCACCGCCTCCGTCCTCACCCGCGCCCTTCCTCACCCGCCTCCCGTCCTCACCCGCCCTTCCTCACCCGCCTCCGTCCTCACCCGCGCCCTTCCTCACCGCACCGCGCCCTTCCTCACCCGCCGCCCGCCTCACCCGCGCCTTCCTCACCCGCCGCCCTCCTCACCCGCGTCCTCTTCCTCACCCGCGCCTTCCTCACCCGCCTTCCGCCTCCTCCTCACCCGCGCCCTCCTCACTTCCTCACCCCGCCCTTCCTCACCCGCCCCACCTCACCCCGCGCCTTCCTACCCGCGCCCTTCCTCACCCGCCTCCGTCCTCACCCGCGCCTTCCTCACCCCGCGCCCTCCTCACCGCACCCGCGCCCTTCCTCATTCCTCACCCGCGCCTTCCTCACCCACGATTGAACCATCGATCCGCGGGTGTCGATGGTCGTAATTCCGGGTGTTACTCTGGAGGGCAAGCGGGGAAGAAAGGAGGTGGGAGGGGAGAGGAAGGAGGGAGGAGGAGGAAAGGAGAAAGGAGAAAGGGAGGAGGAGGAAGGAGGAAGAGGAGGGAGGAAGGAAGGAGAGGAAGAGGAGAAAGGGGAGCAGTAGGAGGAGGAAGGAGGAAGGGAAGGAGGGAGTAAGAGGAGGAGGGAGGAAGAGAGGAAGAAGAGGAAGAGGAGAAAGGGGAGCAGGAGGAGGAGGAGGGAGTGGAAGAGGAGAAAGGGGAGCAGGAGGAGGAGGAAGGAAGGGAAGAAGCGTAAGAGGAGGAGGAGGAAGAAGTGGAAGAGGAGAAAGGGGAGCAGGAGGAGGAGGAGGAAGGAGAGGAAGAGGAGCAAGGGGAACTTGAGGAAGATGAGTAAGAGGAGGAGGAGGAGCAGGAAGGTGTGGGCGAGGAGGAATACGAAAGGTGATGGAGGAGCAGGACGTGGAGAGATAGGGAAAGGAGCTGATGTCGATGGTCGTAATTCCGGGTGTTACTGTGGAGGGGAGAAGGGGAGGAAAGAAGGAAGGAAATTGGAAGAGGAGGGAGAGGAAAAGGAGGACCAGGGCGAGGAAGAGGAGGGAGAAAAGAAAGAAGAAGAAGGATGATGATGATGAGATGGAGAGTAAGAATGAGAGTGAAAATAAGCAGGATGATAATGAGGAGAAAGGGTGAAAAAGTAAGAGTTAGCGTAAAAGTAAGAATAAAAGAAGGAGTAAGAGTAAGAACGAGAGTGAAAATAAGCATAAGAAAAAAGTAGGAGTAGGAGTGAGTTGAAAGAGGAGGAAAAAGACAGAGGGAAGAAGAAGAAGGATGATGTTGAGATGGAAAAAGGGTAAAAAAAGTAAGAAGAGTAAGAGTAAAAAAGAATAAATTTAGGAGTACGAGTAAGAATGAGAGTGAAAATAAGCATAAGAACAAAAAGGAGTAGGAGTGAGTTGAAAGAGGAGGAACAAGACAGAGGGGAAAAGAAAGCGGATAAAATGTCGATTGCTGTTATTCTGAGCGTCGCCCAGGGATCAAGTGGAGAGGGAAAAAAAAAAAAAAAAAAAAAAAAAACAGTGCGAGGAACAGAAGAAAAAGTAGCGGATGGGAGGAAAGGGAAAGGGTGAGTTAGTGCGATGGCAAACGATAATAAGAATAGTAAAAGTAATAATGATAATGCCAAAAATAGTAGCAAAGATAACGACAGAAATGATAATAGCAATACGACACAAAAGCGATACACCAAGTAGAAAGCGCAGCAGAGAAGCCAAAAACCTACGAACCGTAGAAGGGGAAAAAACACGAGCAGAGCGAAGGAAACGAGGGAAACGAGACGGAAGAATGACACTCGGACAAAAAGAAGGAAGGACGAAAGGAAGGAAGATGGCAAATATCCAAAGACGAAATCAGGCAAAATGAAAGACCGGGGGAGACGCTGCCAACACGGAGAACGGAAGGGGAGGGAGAGGGGAGGTGGAAGAGGAAGGGATGGTGGTGAAGATGCTGGTGTTGGTGGGACACTAAGTGATGGTGGTGAAGGTGATGTCGTAGTGAAGGTGATGTTGCGGTGATGCTGGTGCTCTTGTTGGTGGGAGAGTAAGGGATGGTGGTGAAGGTGATGTGTTGGTGAAGAAGCTGGTGCTGGTGGAAGAGTAAGTGATGGTGGTGAAGGTGATGTGTTGGTGAAGATGCTTGGGATCGTGTTGGTGGGAGAGTAACTGATGATGGTGATGGTGGCATGCTGGCTTGAAAGTGGTGATGATGGAATTGGTGATGATGAGGATGGTGAATGTAGCGATGCAATGATGACGATAATGATAGAGGTGTCAGTGCATGAAAAGAAGGAGAGCGGACAAAGTCTAGGAAAAAAGAATTAGAATAATTACCACGAATACTACCAATACCGCTACGATAGCCACGGCAATGTTAATAATATTGATAATGATATAAATCATATTGATGATGAGAATGATAATGATAATTCTACTGGTGATGATAAGAATGATAATAATGATAAAAATAATGATGAAATAATAAGATTAATAATATAATTATTACAAAAATAATGATCATAATAACAATAATAATAGTAATAATGATAATGATAATAATAATAAAATGATAATAATAATAATGATAATGACAATAATGATGTTGATCCAAATGAAAATGATGATGGTAATAATGATAAAGATGATAATGATAATAGTAGAAATAAGATTTGTAACAATGAAAATAAAAGCAAAAATGTGTATGAGCGTGTGTATGAGAGCGAGAGAGAGAGAGAGAGAGAGAGAGAGAGAGAGAGAGAGAGAGAGAGAGAGAGAGAGAGAGAGAGAGAGAGAGAGAGAGAGAGAGAGAGAGAGAGAGAGAGAGAGAGAGAGAGAGAGAGAGAGAGAGAGAGAGAGAGAGAGAGAGAGACAGAGAGAGACAGACAGACAGACAGACAGACAGACAGACAGACAGAGACAAACAGAGACAGAGAGATTATGACTCCCCGCCCCCCAATTATTTTTTAAGCGATAATGAAATATACTCAGCATACACTCTGTGCAGATTATTGACTTCATGTACATAGGTAATGTGATATTGGTTATAGTTTTATCGGTTTTGGTACAATGGCCTCACTGTTTGTTGTTATATGTACGTGAGATTTGGAATATCCTTTTCATTAGTACTTCTTCATTCTTTTCCTTCCATTACTCTTATTGTTATAAACATTACTACTATTACCCTAATGGTGATAGTAAGGGTAATTGTTGTAATGATAGTAGTAATAATAATATTGATAATGATCATGATCATGATAATGATTATGATGATGATTATGATGAAGATGATGATGGTGATTTTAGTGATGGTGATGATGATGATGATGTTGATGATGATGATGATGATGATGATGGTGATGGTGATGACGATGATGATGATGGTAACAATAATGATAATAATAATAATAATTATTATAATAATAGTACTACTACCACTGGTAATAATAATAACAATAATAATGATAATAATGATAATGATAATGATGATAATAATAATGATGATATGATGGTGAAATGATGATGATGATGATAATGATGATGATGATGATGAATGATGAATGATTAATATAATAATAATAATAATAAAATGATAATAATGATGAAAATTATAATGATGATCATTACCATCTTGATCATTGTCATCAATATTATTATAATTGTTGTTATTATTATCAAAGTTATTTTTTATTAATAACATTGTTATTGTTATTTTGATTATTATTGTTATTATTATTATTATTATTATTATTATTGTTGTTGTTGTTGTTGTTGTTGTTGTTATTATCATTATCATTATCATTATTATCATTATTATTATTATTATTATTATCATTATTATTAATATTATTATTATTACTATTAATATCATTGTTCTTATTATTATCAATTCTTTTATTATCATTACTATCATTATTACTTATATTGTTATCATTTTTATTTAAATGATCATCATCATCATTTTAGTATTATTGTTATGACTATTGTTATTATCATCGTAATCATTATTATTATTATTATTATTATTATACTTAATACCGTTAATAACGATTCCGCCATAATGTATTTACTGCTTTATTTAATATCTCTCTCCTCTAATCCAAGGGGCTTCATTACACATTTATACGCATATTTCTCATACATTATGGTCTGCTCGCGAGTACTTGAGCACCACATTTAATAGAGGCTCAAGGACGAGTATTTATCACTCGGGCTAGTCATATTGCGTGATGCAGGGCGGTCAGCTAAATTGCTGTTACACCCAAGTACTATTGCGGCGAAAAGGGTTGTAAAAAAGAGGGTTTTATTATTATTATTGTTCTGTTTTGCATTTCATTATAAAAGATGGTGTAAGGATAAAATGGTTGGGAACGTGTGTGTATGTGTGTGTTTGTGTTGTTTTGTATGTGTGTGTGTGTGTGTGTGTGTGTGTGTGTGTGTGTGTGTGTGTGTGTGTGTGTGTGTGTGTGTGTGTGTGTGTTGTGTGTGTGCGTGTGTGTGATAAAGATGAAAAAGAAAAACTATCCGTTAGCAGCATGCGTTACGATACACTCCGACGATATTTGCCATTACCTTAAAGTAAAAGAGAAGAAGAGAGAGAGAGAGAGAGAGAGAGAGAGAGAGAGAGAGAGAGAGAGAGAGAGAGAGAGAGAGAGAGAGAAGAGAGAGAAGAGAGAGAGAGAGAACAAAGACTTGACCAAGGATTCTTGCATGATTTTAAACTAATGATAGCAGGGTACAGCACACGATCTTAGTAGTGCGGGTTCACTATTGATTGTGGACAATTGTGCAAGGGATAGAGAGTGACAGGGAAGGGGGGAGGCAGGGGACGAATTCCAGGAAGCTATGGCAGGGGAGGGGAATGAGTACGGGGGGGGAGGGATATATGGGTATGAAAAGGGAGGGTGGAAGGAGGTTCGTAGTAGAGGGAAAGGAAAGGTGGGTATGGTATGTGTGTGTATTTGTGTGTGGGTGTGTATGTGTTTGTGTGTGTGTGTATGCGTGCGTGTGTGTATGTGTGTGTGTGTGTGTGTGTGTGTGTGTGTGTGTGTGTGCGTGTGGTGTGTGTGTGTGTGTGTGTGTGGGTGTGTAGCTGTTTGGGTGTGGGAGGCTGAAGGGGAGGGGGAGTTCTTGACAGGGGAGAGGGATTGGGGAAGCGGTGTCGGTACAGAAAGGATGTAAGAAAGACTGCACTGTAAGGGAAAGGGAAGGAAACTGAAGATAGAGAAAAGAGATTGGTGGCAGGGTATTTGAGGGAGAAAGGGGATCGCCAGCAGGGGAATGTGGGGCGGAAAGGGGAAGGGGTTGTTGACGGGGGAATAAGGCCGGGGGCTTTAGTGACAGGAGAGGCGGCAGAGGGATTTGGTGAAAGAGAATAGGAAAGGGGAGAGGGTGTAGCCCGGATT